TAGCATCTAACATATGCTACTGTAGTTTTGTAATCAATTTATCCTTTAAGAATACTGACTGACACAGGTTATCACCGTGTATGTTTGTTCGTTCTTTACGTCCATAATAAGCGCTTTTACTAAATGCGCTCTCCGACGGTACGCTAGTGGCTGGAGTAGCAAGATAGCTTCTTGCTAGTATTGTTAAATATGGTGGTTGATGCTTGTTAAGCTCCCAGAAGGAAAGAGCATTTTTATCTTCACCAACACCCGAAATGTAGCTGCTAGCTAGTCGTCGATATTGTTTTGTTTCAGTTGCATATGTGGATGTTGATGATCTACACGCAGACTGTTGTGAATAAGTACTATCATCATCAATTGAATCTAAAAATTTGTTGAAAGTTGTTGATTTTTTTGTTGATACAACAGTAATTCCTTGTTGTTCGTAGAGTGATGAACGCATTGAATTTTTCACGCGTCGTTCAATTGAACAAATTTCCTTTTGACTTAATACGGAAACACCGTAAGGGACAAAATAAGCATGCATCTATGAGAAGAAAATATATGTAGTAATGATCATTTGGCGATCTTTAATATGCTTTTCAATTAATCAAGAGATCCTAATTTCTTATCCTTATTGAAAAATATAGATTGTCAATGTCCCTATTGTTTTAAGGAATGAGTTTTAAAGATAATGACTTACGAGCAAATTTGTAAAGCCTTCACTATATTGATTCGATGTGGTGTAATATGTTAATTTTTCACGAATGAGCTGTTTTAACTTTTGAATAATTTCATTATCGTCTGGCCGAACAATATCTAGGAAATTTTGTTCAATTTTCCGTAGAACAAATAACGTCAACCCAATTGTTGGATATTGTGTTCCACTAATTAGCTGTACTGCATGTCGAAATGGTTTCAACACCTTGATTAATATTTCGACAACATCCAAACATGTATTTGACATTTCTAGCATTAAAAAATTGCTGGACTGTCTCTTAGTCAAATTAATTTTTCTTATATTTTCAAATAAACCATCAATTATTGGACGATATATTAAAATTGATTTCAACACGTAATGCGTAGAATTCCATCGCGACTTAACATCTAATTAAAATGAACGTTTAATTTTTATTTCGTTGGTATTGTTATATTCAGTTATCAGATCTTTGCACAATAGTCGGAAAGTGTTTGAATACTTAATTGTTGACACTAATTGACGACATTCTAGAAATATCCAAAATGAATTAAATATTGCATGTTTGAAGCAGAAAATAAATAAGAAATGTGTCAACATTCAGAAAAATAGAACTAAGACTCAGATGTTTAATTTTCTCTCTTAAGATGATAGTAACTCAACCAGAATATTTCTGCTTGATCGCAATTAAAGTATACATGCTCTGTCATAACTGTATAAAATTTGAAAATGAGAGAATAATATTGTCGGAAATATTCATTTGGTATGTCATTTGATAGAAGATTCGAACGAAGAGATGAAATGCTTTCGTCTGATAATTAGAAACAGAAATTTTAATACTAGTCTTTTCTTAGGAGGATTAACTCGTTTTTCAGTAACTATATAATGATTGGCTGATTGCAATCGTCATTGCTGTTGATTATATCATTAGTAGCTACTTTGTCAACCTTATAATAGGGACAATAAACGAACGGGTGGCCCATAATAAATGACGCTCTCAATATTTTGCATATTTCTCACTTATAATTCAATTTAGAAAAAAAAAATTTTTATAAAAAGATTCGTTGTCAAATTCTCTACAAAACGTAGATGTTTTTATTATTTTAAATAATTTCCATTATTCTGTGAGATGCGATACAATCGATTGGTTCAAGAAGCACAACTTTCAAACACAATACTTTTTCGAATTTTTTAACCGCACGTTTTAGTTCTTGGATCATGGTAGGCTTAGATATCACTTTATTCGAGTCGATGACCTTCACAAATTCATCCCAAATACAGTAATCCAATGGATTAAGATCGGGACTATTTGGTGGCCAATGGTCTTCATCGATAAATCCCGAAAAATTGTCATGACACCATTGTTGTGTTAACTGATGAATATGGGGTTTGGCACCATCGTGTTGGAATGTCCAATCATTTCCAAAGACGTAATTTCCATATTTAAGTGCCACAGGAAGCACTTCTTTAATATATCGAGCATGACCGACTGTGCCTTCATCAAATATCATCAATGGAGATACACCTTTGGAACAAACGCCAAGCCAAACCATCACCTTCTGAGAAAAAGATTTTTTCTGCAGAATACCACCTTTTTCATTGGCTTCAGCACGATTTACAGCCCAAATACGGTCATTTTGGGTGTTATAAACTCCATCAATGTCGAACATCTTTTCGTCAGAAAACAGAATTTTCAATGTTTCCTGCTTTCGAAAGTTTGTTCGTATCCAGTTAGCAAACCATTTTCTTTTTTCTTTGTGTTCTTCGGTAAGTGCTGGTTCGACCAAATATTTATACGGTCGACAGCCAAGATCATTCCGAAGAATCCGTTGAGCACTTGTTCGAGATACATCTAGTTCAAGTGCAAGTCTTCTATTTGATACCTTTTTTTGTTGTAGCTTCTTTTTGGCCTTGTTGATAGTACTTTTAGTTCGAGCTGTATGTAGACGACCTGGTGATGATCTTAAATTGATAGAATCAGTTTCGTTAATCATTCTGCGCCATCTTTTAATAGTTTCCAAACTAAGTATTCCGTTCAAATCACGAAAAATCTTCATCGGATAATCACCATTTTTATGTTTCAGAGTTACCAGTTTCTGTAAATCTTCGCTTTTCATTATCAGAAAATTCAATCTCGTGCAAAAAACGTTGAGAAATAAAAATGAGGATGGAGCCAATTTTCCATCATTTATCGATGAAGACCATTGGTCACCAAATAGTCCCGATCCTAATCCATTGGATTACTGTATTTGGGATGAATTTGTGAAGGTCATCGACTGGAATAAAGTGATATTTAAGCCGATCATGATCCAAGAACTAAAACGTGCGGTTAAAAAATTCGAAAAAATAATGTGCTTGAAAGTTGTGCTTCTTGGACCAATCGATTGTATCGCATCTCACAAAATAATGGAAATTAATTAAAATAATAAAAACATCAACGTTTTGTAGAGAATTTGACAAGGAATCTTTCTATAAAAAACGTTTTTTTTCTAAGCTGAATAATAAATGAGAAATATGCAAAATACTGAGAGGGTCATTTACTATGAGCCACCCGTTAGAAATACATAAAACCGAAACGCGTCGGTGAAAATAATTCTGCGTTTACTAAATTTATTTTGAATTAAAATACTTCTTTTATTTAGCTTTTAATTTCAAATTCGGCTAAAAAATCGGTTCCTGAAAAGCAAAAGTGGAGATTAGCAGATTGATTTGTGTTTTCGTTAAAGCATAGGTCGATGTGTTTTCGATTTGATCCATCCCACCCGCAAATTCGATAGTGTGTCGATCCCCATAAAATCAAACATTTTGTCAGCTGGCTCGTTGAAAGCAACAATCTTGTCTCAGATAAAATCTACTCCCATGCTTGTCGTCAAAATGGAACCAATTGCTTGCTTTTCATTGAAAGGTACATATGGCCTTATAACTTTGCGCAAGGACTCTGGCGAGAAGGTCGAACTATCAAAACATATACTTCAGTTGCAAAAAAAACGCATGCTATAGCTGAGTACAAAAGTATTGTACAGAAACCGACTTTGAAGGTCTTTGCAATAGAAACTCTTCGATATTCTTACTGCTCTAACACCTGCACAACAACGAATCGTTGTCGGATTAGACGACTTGGTCGTTGAAGGTATTAAAGCATGGCACTCTCTATCAGGTATGTTTAAAATTCGAGATGAACCATGCTTCGAAAACTCTTGTTCTCATCAGGTATTGTTAATGCAATGTCTATTCCACAAAGTGATAGAAAACGCTTACTTAAGCAAATTGCTATGGCAGAGCAGTATCAAAAAACCGCACATAGTGGTCATTGCTTCAGTAACTCTGATTGTATTACGCATTGCACAACGTTTGGCCTTAGTGATGCAAAATCCTTTGAGCATCATTTCAAGTGCACTCCATTACACAGCTTTGATTGCCCGGATTGTCTCAATGTTATTCGGACACTCGATGAGATCGACGAAAAGATTAAGAAAATTTGCCATGAAGAGATTAAACGCGAAACTCAATATGACTTCAAGAATGTAGCACAGCATATTATTGAATGGTCTCGTCATAATCTTCGCGCTGCTCAACAAAATGCAGCAAATAACAAGATCATATCGGAAATGAAGAGCGACGAGGCATTCTGTACATTTGATTGGGGCCAAAAAATCTTACCACAAGAATACCGAGAGAAACAAAGCACATACTTTGGAAAAAAGAGAAAGTCTGTGCTGGTTGGTTCATTCGTATGGAAAGACTCAAGGACAGAAGCTGTACCTTCAAGTATCACTTCCGCACAATCTTTCTGTACCGAATCCTACATACTTGCTTTAGCAAATACGGCACAAACAGATTTAGATTCTCTGAGTGCAAGTGAGATAATACTGAAACAATTTAAAGAAGATCATGCTCACATTAAACAGTTACGCAAGCGCACAGATAATGCTGGTAATTTCTCTTCGCACTCAACGCCAGAAGTTGAAAAACGGATTTGTGACCGAGTAAGTTTCTTCTACAGATTGTAATATTACAACATAAGCTTTATTTCCTTAGATCGGCATTGAATTGATGACTCGTGACTATAGTGAAGTTCAAAAGAGTAAAGACATATGTGACAGAGTGTGTGTAGTGGCTAAAGCTAGAATGCAATCATGGGCTTCTAGCGGAAATGATTTACTCAACGCCAACGACATCAAGGAAAGTATGGAGTACGCAGGTGGAGTGGAAAATACCAAAATTGCAGTCGCCGAAATTATGCCAGAAGCAGGTAAGTGCTCAATAGAAAAACATCAGCTATATATTCTTCATTTTATTCTTTCTAAAGATCATTTACGCAAGACAAATGTGCCTAAAATGTCGACGATTCGTTCAATTCAGTATTACCCACACCACATGAAAGTATTCAAGGCATCAAACATTGGTGACGGACTTTCAATACCTTACAAAAAGATTGATTTTGAAACAAATATGCGTGTGATCAGTTCCTTCACAGATCCAATTAATGGAAAAGATTCCGCTATCCTTTCTAAGAAGTAAGAGTGTTGTTATTTCATCTACATCTCTTTATTCTCTTTTTCAAACTTAGGCGAAATAATCGTAATCATCATCAGCTGCTCATGTGCCCTGTGGATGGATGTACAAGCACTTTCGAAACCGGCGAAGATCTCGACACACATATAGCCGCTAATTTACATAAAATCCCACCACCCAACCCAAGAACAACAAACGATATTGCTCGATACCATCTGGTTGACACTGTACGATCAACAAATGTTCGATATCATCAGGACATCGATACAATCCGCAAAACACAAGGTGCATCATCTGCCGACATGTCCAATTCTTTCTACTACCAGCAGTTGACGTCAGTGGGATGGGCCCTTCGAACACGCAAGCACACAAATCCAATCAGCAAAAAGGTGAAGAAATTCATTGAAGACATGTGGGTTGACTCACAGCAAACACGCTCTAAGCTAACGCCAGAGCTGGTCCAACAACAAATATGATCCCGACGAGATAGCAGTAATGAAAAGAAACTATATCACCAACATGAATATGCGATAATCAATCAAATCAAATATCGATTTCGAAAACTAGCATCCAAATATAAAATCACTCCCAAAGAGGAGGCCATTGCGGATCTTATAGAAGAAAATGCTGACTAAGAATTATGCGTAGCCGTCTACTAATCTCTACTAACGTAGCGAAGTATTATACTTCTCTTATTAGTTGTGCTAGATAGCGATGTGTTTTGTAGCTAATACTGTACTGTCAAAAACGAATGAAAGTCTCGGTGGCATTTACAATTCGGGAATAAGTTATTGTACAACTGATTTCAATCGAAAATGAAACTCACCAACTCTTTGATTGCTGATCGCCTAGAATTCGACTCTACTTTCACAACATCTAATAGGATGTAGTGTTAAATTTCTTCTATATTTCTTCAGATTGTAGTAAATGCGACTTGAAAATATTTTACTCTTGGATGGGAAACTTCTCAAAAGAATATCTTTTGCTTATATTAGAAAGTATTTCTCTGGTAAATACAGTTATAGAGGGACTTTACATTGTTCAAAGGTATATTGTTTACTTCTTAAAGATAATTTCTTAAATTTAATTCTAAAAACGAAAAAGATTTTGTCGGTATACAAGTACGACAAAAGCCCTAGTGACTGACACTCTAAAAAAAAAAGGTACTCTTGGAAACCTATAGAGGGTTTCCGGGTTTGTCACTATATGAAACCCTTTATAGGTTTCCGGGAAAGGGTTTCCGAGCTCTCGGAAACGCTTCAACACAATCAAAAAACCTCAGGGCCCAGAAACCCAGTTGAGGTTGCCGAGACTTCGAAAATCTTCTATAGGTTTTCCACAGCTACTTACAAAACGATTCACTGACCTATATCTGCCGCCTTATTCTAACACTTTAATCTATATCTATCCGCTTAATCTAACCCCTTATTCTAACTCCTTAATCTATATATAGCCCCTTATTCTATCCCCTTAATCTAACTCCTTATTCTAATCCCTTAATCTATATATATCTCCTGAATCTATCACCTTAATCTAACCCCTTATTCTAACCCCTTATTCTATCTTCTTAATCTATGACCTTAATCTATCCCCTTATTCTATATATATCCGCTTATTCTGTCCCCTTAATCTATCCCCTTAATCTATCCCTTTAATCTAACCCTTTATTCTATCCCCTTATTCTATCCCTTTAATCTAACCCCTTATTCTACCCCTTAATCTAATCCTTAATCTATCCCCTTATTCTATCCGTTTAATCCGACCCCTTATTCTAACCCCTTATTCTGATTCCTTATTCTATATATATCCCCTTATTCTATCCCTTAATCCAACCCTTATTCTATTCCTTAATCTATTCCTTATTCTATCCCTTAATCTATTCCCTTTTCTATCCCCTTAATTTATCCCCTTAATCTAACGCCTTATTCTATCCCTTAATCTAACTCTTATTCTATCCCTTTATTTCTATGCTTTTAATCTAACCCCTTATTCTAACCACTTATTCTAACTCCCTAAACTATACATATCTCCTTATTCTATCCCCTTATTCTATTCCTTAA